GCGGGGATTTTTGACCGGTAAATTGCCCCTCGCCGGGTTTATTTACCGGAGTGACCTCTCCAGGGGTGTGTCGATAGAAGAAGGAGGCCAGGAGGTGCCCAATCAACTGGCTTTGTGAGACTGAGCGTAGTCTGGCCCCCAACCATTGAACTTCCAGGCATTATTGTATCTCCGGCTGTGAAAAGCCATCCTGTGGAGCTCGCCGGGTCATGGAGGCCATCACAAGCCATCACACCACGTCAAAGTGCGGTCTGGTCTTTAAACGCAGATTCTTAGTTATTCGCTATCGGCCACTTGAGTAAGTGCTCAACCACCATGGGCCAGGTTGTATAAGGGCATGTGTTATTGCCGTGTCACCAAATAGAGTGCCACAGTGTGCGATGTTTGCCGAGGCTGGTCCTGGATGGGAAGAAAGTAAAAAGTGGTCAAAATATTATCTGACCAGAAGATTTGCTCATTTAGGGCGCCTTCGACCTCGCTGATATATGAACTTCGGGATTAGCGTCACCGACCGGTAGAGACACTATGATCTGTATCTAATCGATTTCCTTCAGTCTATCGGTGTGTACTGTGTTCGGCTAGACAACACAGTCTCAAATATTACAATCTTCAGTGGACTTTTCCATCCAAACGGGCAACCAAAAGACAGCAACGGAAACCACCTGGGAATGCATGGTTAGTGATTGTTCTAACTGAAATGCTGTCACTTTGCTTTCCCGCTTCACGCGTAACTACTCGACTGCGCTGTGGCGCCTGTGCGTTGCCTCCTCTACCCCGTGCCTTTCGAAGATAGTCGATCTTAAACATTGCCAGCGGTCGCGCATTCAGATCACAATTGTTCTAGACTCGGGTCTTAGTGTACGCCCTAAACTGTAAGTGTAAAGCTGTTCGGCTGTTTCTTTGACCATGCTGACACCTTCGGCTGTACTAATAAGTCAACATTTCTTCAGGTCAAGTCAATTTAAGCCTTATGCTCTATTTGGACTTTCTCTCTGATGGAGGTAATCAACCGTCTGTGACCGATCTTTTGGTGGTGGGTGAAGTAATTGCTTGTAAGCAATTATTAAATAGTGTATTAAATATAAGGAACACAGCTCGCCACGTCTACTTAAGGTGAGTCCGATCTCCCTTCCCGTCTTCTACCGATATTCCTTTCGTACTTTGTTTTGACAATTGTTTGCTCACTCAATGTACGGACAATTTTGTGCGTGGTACGGATTTTCTGAATTCTTCCACTTAGCCCAAACATTATGGATAATGGTTTACTTCTCACCGACTGGTCTTTACGTTCCAATATTGAATGAAATGAAGGAATTCCTGCAAGTGCACAGATACCGTAATTTCTTTGCCAGATGCCTTGATATACCAATGTCTAACCAGCTATCGAGGAAGAACCTGTTTTCAAAGGGTGCGCCATCAAATACCTTCGAGTCACCATTTCTCTTGATCTGTCACGCTCTCTTGATTCTGCCCAGACATTTCGCACAGTCAGAAAACTCATTTATTACTTTATCCGCCTGAAAGTGTTATCCGGATTAGCTCACTTCACAGAATTTTCTATCTTCTTTTGCATCCTTCTTCACTGAATTTATGCGTCCCCAGTTATCTTTCTCGGTCTGCTTATCAGAGATTTTATACTAGTACCTAGATCCATCTAACACCTATGTGAACTCAGTGGCATACTTGGCGAACTTATTGTGCAGTTTTTCATTTCACAGAAGTTAAATGCTTTCGTGAATATCCATAACCCATCTCACCCTCCATCCTCCCATCTTAGCAAATGTACTTATCTTTATATCTGGCAATGGCTATAATTACAAATACTGACATACCACACCATACATACTTGCTCTAATTCCCCGTACCTTGCACAGTTTCTTACTCAGGCCAATCCTCTCTCTGACGGGGAGAATTTGCTTCATCGTTTATGTGTACACTGTTTCCGCATGCGTTTTTGTCCCTGTCGTTCCCGATTTGTTCTTACATCATCACGACGAGACTGCACCTTGACGTAGTGTGATGGCTTGTGCACTTCTGTGACCCATCGAACTACACAGGATGGCTTTTATCAAGCCAAGAGATCTTATTTTGCTTGGAAGGTCAATGGGTAGAGGTTGGACGAAGTTCAGTCTCCTGTTCCTCCAGGTTGGGGGTTCGACTAGAATTTGCGTTTCAGTCGGTTTCGGTCGCTTTACCCGCTGCCTTGTGGTTAGGTTCTTATCAGAACTGAAGGCTTTGGCCGAAAACCCTAATCGTTCTCCTGCTTAGTGGCTGTACACCCTAGCAGTACCCGCGCAGGATAATCAGGACCGCGCTGCCCATTGCATCGAGCGGGATGGGTAATGGTAAATGAGCTACTGCTCAGATTCCAACCTTTGTTTAATTCTTTGTCGTCAGTACCCAGTCCTCCATTTTCCCCTTCTTCCGACGTGTAATAGTCCCTCAAGCAACTTGGATGTCACTTGCCAAAGGTAGTTGCCAAATAGCACTGTAAGTAATGTATCTCGAAACGAATTGCAGATTCTAAAGTCTCGTCAATCACTGAATCTGGGGACCTTCAGGGTGAGAACCCTGATGCAGATAGATCAACAAGCTTGTCTGGCGCGTACAATGGAATCTTTGGGGGTGGATATTTTCTGCGTGTGTGAAACTCATATCCAGGAACCTACTACTCTAAGCCACTTGAGCGCGCCATAGTTGTCTTCGAGATATGTTCTTCGCACATCAGGCGATGACGAAACCTGCTCTGTGGGTCAGCGCGGGTAAGTATTGTACTCATTAACAGGGCTGAGTCCTCTCTTATCGATTGGATCCCCGTCAACAGTCGTTTATGTACAATGCGTCTCCAGGGTTCAATCAGCGTCCGGAAGGGAAGCAACACCAAAAGGTGTTTGTTCATCATATGAGCATGTGCACCGACTAGTTGCAGTTCTGATACCCAAAAGGGCGCCTTATAGGGTGTTCTCACCGATCTCATTCGGATGAGTCAAAGCTCCGACATAGTTGTACGGTAGTTGCGTGACCAATGACGGTAGTGTAGCAAAAGAGCTAACCGCCCTCATTTCAAAGGCTCGAGCAGTATACGGAGAAGTAAAACACCTTTGGCGTAGACGCGACGTTTCATTGAAGTTGAAAGGTCGTGTATATTGTGCTGGCGTTCGTTCAATCTTGTTTTATGGCAATGAAACCCTGAATTTGCGAGTAGAAGATATCCGTCGAGTAGAAGTTTTCGATTATCGGTGTTTACGCAGTTTAGCCCATGTTGGATGGAGCGAACGGGTTAGTAACATGGAGGTAAGCCTTCGTGTGTTTGGGAGTCTATCAGGTAGAAACCTGCTGGCACACCGAATTCAGATTAGTAGAATTCGCTGGCTAGGACACGTATTGCGTATGCTCAGCTGTCGTCTGCCGAACCGCGCCTTATTCGCTGTAGCTAATCCGGGCTGGAGGAAACCGCGTCAAGGTCAACACGTGACGTGGAGACGAGGCATGAAGAAATGCACAGAGCCATTAGGTAGAGTAGGTGTCTCTCGCCTTCCAGTGGCGTTCTTGTTGTTTCTGATCAGGTCAGAATGCTTGAAACGGTATGTATGCAGATTTCGATTGTGGACTCTGTTTGTTGACCATAGAAGTTCACCCTCTTCTCCCTCCTCAAAGTAGGTCCAATCCCTGTCCACCTTAAATTTTACCACTAACCTTGTATGCATTGCGAGTTTGGCGGCGATCAGTGAAGCTCGCTTCACTGTGTTTCGCTTTACGATGATGATGATGATGATGATGATGATTTGTTCTTACACGAAAACGATCCTGATTTCGCAGGTTAAAATTCACCCCCTCGCTTCTTCATGGGGGAAATTGAAGCCCGGTTTCAATTTGGTTTGACCTGACTAGGTCTTTACTTTTATTGTCCTACTCAGGTCTCTATAACGTCAAACAAAAGCCGTTGCATCGTCCCAATCACGCTTTATCATTCCAGCCCACATGGTGCTCTCAATCTGTTGGTTTGCGGTTCACTCTGTGCGATCCGGCACAAACGCACGCACACGATCATTCCCATGACCCCAGACACGTGTTTGTTATACAAGTGTTCACATGCTTCACTCTCATTTGGTCTAGATCTGCGTTTTGTTCTCTTCTCTCTCTCTCCGATTTGATCACATTAATGACTGTGCCCGCCTATCGTTTGTTCTCTTGTCCTTACCGCACCGTACACGTATGTTGTGCGTGTGTTTGATTTGTTCTAACATATGAACACCAGGTAAACATACGATTGAGTCCGATATCTAGGACAACCACTGTTGTGAGTACGAGTTACTGTCTCCGTTTTATATTCAATCTGGTTTGGTTCTTGTCAGAAATGACTTGAGACGTCTTGTTCCGATTGCTTGCTTATCTTGGTTCATTGTACCATAAGGGGTGTAAGAAGTAGAACAACTTTCTTGCCACCTTATTTTGCATCTGACTATTTAAGTGCCTTCCAGTAGTCAGTTTAGAACAAGTTCATTTTTGGTGCGCTTTTTCAATGAACCTTATAGCTCACCCGGGGACAGTTCCCGTCGAAGAACCTCTCATTGCTTCATCGGTTGCCTGCGACCAGTTGATATTAAATAACAGTGAAGCAGCTGCAGTATCCTCTGGAACTGCGACGTAGTTGTTTGGACCTCTTTTTGGGTCCATATTTCACATGTCTCGATAACAATATACCATGCTAGCGGATGTTTTAAGTGTTTTTTCACTTTTCACGCATCAAACAAAGATACGCATGATCCCTGTTGTACAGGGGTAACTTATTTGGAAATTGTCTCTCCACCAAATGACAAGGGAAATATTTGTTGTAGGTATCTGAATCCTTTCAGAAAGATGAACCTGTGGATACTACAGTATGACACATTAAGTCACTGCTAACCAACATATTCTGTTATCTCCGTGTCACGGCGGAAAGCGTATTAGTATTGCAGTCTTTTCTAATTTTCCTAGGCAAACATCTAGCTCGGTTGCCATTTCGTTCAGATTGAACCGTGGTTTACGAATAAATTGTTCACTTGCTTTGTGCCAAGCGTCATGCTAACTGGTCGAGGATACTCCGTTCACCCTTAATCACCTCCTGAACGGATGCAATTTCAGCATTGTATTTTTTATTACACACCTTAGGTTGATGTAATGCAGACAGGGAAGGCTCCATAGTCACGAGGGCCTGCTGTTCATTGATGGAAACCGGCAAACTAAGCCTCGTAACTTGGAGTGCCGAACCACATAAGGCCACTCTAGCCTAAGTGTGGTATTGAATCAGACGACTGCAAAGCTCCTGCTGTGTGGCGATGACGGAGCTCGAACCCAGAACCATATGGTTCAAAGCATTCCGGTGATAGCGACTAAACCACTGCGTCACCACCGTTTGATAAAATATTTTGCTTTCATTTGCAAGGTTAAACGATAATACGAAACTGATGATCAAAGTAGGATACCTGGGCTCTGGAAAGGAACGTGCCTAGTCAGCTGAGTTCTCTCGGTGTTTAGCGAATCCGGCCGCACCAGACACTTTGAAAACAAATAAATAGATAACCGACGGGAAGAGATGGATTCACTCACTCACGCACCAATGATCCCCGTCCTGAATCAATCTCGAGGGAATGGTTCACTCGCAATCTATCATAAATATGATTATAAACGCTTCCACTGGCGCGGTCCAAATATTTACTGCATGCAACTCTTCTTTCTCTGTTTATTTGCCAGATAATCAAAGTCTGTTCACGTGGGAATCGACACCATGCACAGAGTCGTTGCCTTTTGTCTGTTCATCCCCTGTGTCTGTGCACGAAAAACCTACTGTTCCATTCATTCAGCAATCCTGTCCGGAACCGTATATTCACATTGGATCGGGCTGTTTCCTGGTACGTGACCGTTTTCAAAGAATAAGTAGCGTACGATGCCACCATCTCGTTTTGTTTATCCTTTTTTCCAATTGGTTGCAATTCAGTCGGTCTCAAATCGTGACCCCCGCCCCGGCTCTCCGCGCAAATCATCTCATATTTCGGAGCATAGTTTTTTTTCATAAAATAGTGCCCGAAATGCTCCGAAAACCCGTGTTTATTTTCGTGTTTATCTCTGTGACCGTTTCGTTTAAATTCGTCAATATCGGGCATCAACTCGATATGTTGTGTGCTTAGAATATTCCAGTTTTCACTGCTCTGAAATAGTTTTATGAAATGTGAAATGCTAATAAAGCCATTTGGAGCGGGGTGTTCCCGGTGGGAAAATGTCTGTGAGATAATGGATGCTGTTCCCGACATTTTCTTCCGGGTCTTAGGTTCAAGGATAACATTTGGTGAACAATGAGCAATACGCGCCGCTACGCGGTCCATACTGTGCAGAATAGGTATGTTTCAACGAATTCCTATCGCTTCTGCTTTGGCTGCAATCTGACAGCGAACCTCTCTATGCAAGGGCCCAGATGCCTCAGGTACATAGTGTTGTTTGATTCCGCCATATGGAAAACAACCTCGTCGGTGTAAATGATCGCATCGTCCCGCTGTTCAGCCGCGCAGGGTGATGGTGTCCCTGAATCTATCTGTTCGTACTGCGTATGTGCATTTTCCTCGTAAGAATGCGTATAGATTCAGTACGAGACAGCCTTCTCGTGCACTTTGTCTCCTAATCGTAAACACAATTGGTCTGGATGCAGAACTTTCATATACTCTTGTTGGACAATCTCCTTTGTTTCATCTCAGCTGATATGTCTCCCAGTAATCTGTGATGAAAGCGTTTTCTATACGTAGTTGGTTATATGTACACTGTGACGTCCTGGCAGGTTGACGAATCTCTGTCAACACTTTGTCGTCAAGTCCAGTGAGTACTTCCTGGGCCTCGAAACATGACATTTCTCAAGACAATCTTTAATCAATAATCCATGCTGTGATTGAGTAATTCTTGCTCCCGTTTTCACACTAGGTGTGGCGATCACGGGAACACTTGATTTTCCTGTATTTTTTTTATTAGTATCATCTGGTTTTGCTATAATCTTGCGTAAAATGAAATGGATGTATTTCTATAAGTTATACGAGATGTGTGGGTTTATGTGTGAGTAGGTCGGCATGCAGCCGTAGACCTGGGCCCGTAGCATTGTGTGTATATATTTCTCTATGAATTTTTGGGTCATTTGTATCGATTTCCATAGATGTAGTAGAAGTGATTTTGAAATGTTGGACTTTAACCGGGTCCCGGTTGGGTAGCACAGAATCATAACTGATTTTTCTTAAAGCAATGCGATATCCTTACAACCTCTCCCGTGCGCTTGATCTTAATCACACAAACCTTCGTAAACACACACGCGCGTACACACACTTGGAAACTGGACGTAGGCACCGACTACATCACACACGCACGCATATCCTCATTTATAGGGGCGCACGCCTGCGTGTGTACGTACGTTTGTGTGTATGTGTATCGTAACAATGTCCTGTCGCGATCAGGCCACTAATGCATGAAGTACTGTGAACTTGAACTTACGCGTTGATGTTGGTACGGGTGCTGGTTTTGTTGCTGCTTTTCTGGTTGACTCACAATGAGCTAGTGCAGGGTGCAAATGTAGAAGAAAACAAACAGGTGCTCCAATTTTAGTGTTTTTGTAACTGGTTTGTCACGAAGTGTAAAATTCTTCGATTCGGTTTACCAGAGACGGTGGCTGCGATGACTGACTGAACGAAGCAGAGCCATGTGATAGAACTCATTCGATGGCGCCTCCTTTAAACCCGGTGGGGTATGCTGCGTGATGAGACGGAGCGTTGTGGCAATTTTTTGCATGTTGACCGTATTAAACTCACACAGGTATGCGAATCCATTCATTGCAAGCGTCCCTGAATGAAACCGATTACGCTACCAGGTGATGTAAGTGATTGTCGATTGTGTACTTGTGTGTAGAAAACTTATTAGAATGAAGAAAAGCAATATAGGAAATCCGTAACTATGCGGTTCCTGAAAAGAAAACGGTGATTTACTAGTCGTCTTTCTGCAACGATTTAGAGTCACCTGGATCTCTCAAGCAAGGAAACATGGAGGAGAAGGAGGGATCAATTTGTCAAGCTCCACAGAACAAAGCCAGTGGAACACGCCCAAGGGGGTAATTGCACCGCGATGGGCAAATGGTTGGAGAAACGGACGGATTGACGACGACAGAGAAAGTAGCTTTATGCTAAAACCGGTTTACAAGCATCGTAGTAGAGGAGGCCCCGTCTCAGGCATGGCTATAATGTTTCCCTAATGAGATCTATTTATGTCATGTTGAGAGTGACATGTTGCACGCGAAATGTGCTAAATCTTACTGGACGCACGCGATTCAAGTTCCTGTAGATGAGAAGACTAAGATACGAATAAGGAGAAAGATTTGACGTGAATCAGATTTAAAACGAATAAAATTAGAGTTTTATTTCAGGTTGAGATAAAATAGCTGACATTTGCGGGATAACAATTAATAAACATACAAAACGCTCGGTCCCATTGAAAACAAGTCGATTATAGGACAACAAGCGCCGACCACATTCAGGTCTGCATTGAATTCAGCGTAAGCAGACAATCAATCGTGATTGATGGTGATAGAGGAATAAGGGTGTAGGGGAGGGTGTGTGTGCTGTAAGCAAGACAACGAGGTTAGGCAATGGGTTAAACCATAAACGGAATTAACAGTTGAAGCTGAGAAGTTGGTCAATGAGTAGGATAAAGGTAAGGCCAGGTAGCACTGAACCTTTTGAAACAGTTCTGGGGCAAGGATGAAAATGGTAAGCTTCGCCGGGAGCCCGTCATGTCAAAGTCAGTCTCACGCTTTGGAAATATCGTACAAAACCAGGCTTCATTCAGCAGGATGGCGGGGGACCAGATGTAAAGCTGGCTTGACAACAGTTCACTCGTGGATCTGCGACGACGAATGCAGTAAGCTTCGACGGGTAGCTCTTCCTGTCAACGCTGGTCCAATACATCGAAAATTTTGTGGAAAACCGGGCTTGACTTACCATGATGGCAGAGATCCAAATGTGAAACTTTTGTCAGTTGCTTCCGTGAATGTTGTTCCCGCCTAGCATGGCGATCGGGGCTTTGTGGGTCTTATTGGATCATGTTTTCAACGTGCTGTGGAAAAATATCAAGCATAGGACAGTCAGTGTTTAGGCGGACGATAAACAATGCAAAACTAGCGGTCTAACCACACAACGAGTATGTAATTCACTTTTTGCATCCTTTTCTTTTGAGGCTGGACAACCTCGATGTCATCCGGGTCAATACCACGCCTGATCTAGCGAACCCTATTTGTTTCGCCACTCCAAGCCCTCTGGTTGCGTTAACATCTTCCATTACTGAACAGTTGGTCTTCGTGAATATGGGGTCCACCTCCCCAGCTGATCGTCACACAAACGTATGTAATGAAAAAAAACACAAGTGATAAAAATCTCTAGAAAGTCTGCAGCGAATAGCTGCCACATTTGTGAAAGTTTAAAAACGGTCGAACTCTGCTTATCCTCATACCATCGAATCAAATAATCCGTCAATGCAACCTCCCTCGTAATACTCTGCTTTCCCTATTCAGAAATGAAACTGTTGCTCCAAAAACGTCGGCGACAGTGCCAGCCTCACCGTCCGTACTGACTGGAACTCTTCACCATCCCAAGTTCTTTGTACTTCAATCGTCGACTCTTTCAAATCGCGGCATGTTGAGGCAATAAAACACCCTTCTCTCTGTACAGAATCCATGAATGAACGTGTTTCCTTTGAACTATCATTCAAACCCAGTGTGCGCTAATCCTTTACGACTCTTATGTGTAAAGTACTCGTGATAAAAATTGATAAAATTTGACTGACATTGATTGAGAAACAAATAAGTTACCATTTGGATAGATGGAATAGATCGTTCGTCCAGTCAGAACGGGAGACATGTGCGCTCATTTTCGCACAGGATAATTGAGTTTCAGCATGAGAAGGAATAAGCCGGAGATCGATTCAAGACATTAAATCACAGCACAACATTACTGTTCCAATTAAAATTACGAGTGTTTGTGGAGCAGCAACTTCGTTATTTTACGTCATTTGTCCTTATTCACATGCCTGTTCCGTTTCCCTTCGCAGATCAAGGCGGATCCATCATCCGCGGTCAGTTGGGCTGAGGCCGCTGTCGCGTGTTCTAAACTGGAACCAAAAGGTCATCTAGCGACGGTCCAATCGCTTCACGAACAAGGTAAGCACCGTCTTTCAGTCTTTCGTCGCCACCTTTCAACGGCATCTTTATCCCGTTTCTTTCGTTCCTTCGGGCTTGGGAATATATTTATAGTCAAATTTGCATTATAAGAATTACTCGCAATCTCAAGTTTCTGTTTTCCCCATAGAATATTTACCTAATTCAATCATTTCTCGGCAAAAGTGACATCACGTATAGTTCCGAGTACGAAGTAATACACGATGCTATCCGTGTTTGATAGATTAAATAGTTTGCTCACAAACGACGTGAGGTAGAAGGACGTTCCAAGTGATTGACTGTATAAGATCGGTGCTCGAATTCCAATCGACACTTCGGATTTACTAACTTGGGACGGTGTCCTCGAAGGTGCTTTTATGTAATCATCGAGTTAATCACCGCTTTCCATTCGAATAGCCGATAACTGCGGTCGATGGTCACCGTCGATACAATACTATCCGTGACCTCTTCCTTAAGCAGTGTTAAAGGATCGTTTCGGAAGTCAACCCTGAGGATGGTTTGATCACAATATCGACGAAATGAAAGCCTCAAATTACTTACATTATTAATTCTGTTGATCAAAGTCCGTTAGACACCCTCAGTCCACATTATGGGCTGGATTTATCCACCTGTTTAGTATGACTAAACTCCAAAGCCTTTCTAATTGTTTACGTTATTGTGCCTAACAGCAGAAAAAGTGAGCCTTATTACCGCAATGATCTCTCGTTTGGTTGTGAAAACCGGTAACTTACGCCCTGGGGTGGGGTGGGGAGGAAACTCGAAGCTGAACGGCACATTAGGCTAAGTATAACATGGACACCGCTAATAGTTCAGTTTGAACAACCATTAGTCATGCACTTCCGTACGTCGCTTTAGGTTGCCGTCTGTTGGCTACCCATTTGGATGAACAATAGGAGGAAATCCGGAAGGTTGGAAGTAGGATTGAAGAAAAAATTGAGAAGTCCAGAGGACCAATGATGCAGAGATTGAGAAGATGCGCGAATCCGATTGTTTGTGACACCCAGACATATCACTCAGTGTCTCTAACCATCGGTGGCCATCATCCCGAGGTCACCAGTCAGGGAGCCTAATAGGACCTATGTGACCCAGTCTCCTGGTTAGGATTTACATATCCGCATGCCAGTTCTTAGCTTGATCACCTGGCATGAGAGTATGACAACCCTAATCCCAACCGATCATAGACAAGTTTCTAACCGCGAAAAAGCGGTTTTCAGATCCTTCGTTCGGGTTTGTACTCATTTGAGTGGCCAAGCACACTATGTAATTTTCGAATACTACGCAAAATCACATGTTCTTACTGCAACCGAAATTTCAAAACACCCAGCGGTTGAGGGTTTAGGCATTGTCCAATAAGATCCTGCCGATCTTACTCTATGATCCGTTGTTTCACTTAATCATTTGCTGTCAACATGCTCTCCCTCCGGGAAATTGTGCTGAAATACTAGCAGTATTAAAGATTGCTTTTTGTGATTGGTATCGAGTATTTTGTGTTATTTATTAGTCATTTATGTATTCCTTTTGGTCACACACACACGCACACCGTTTCCCTAATCACTCCTCGTTGTGTGAATACAAAATATTCTTTTAAACAATGGAAAGGAATTTATGCCAGTGGATGAGTTGTCCCCACTTAGGAGTTCTTTTTTCTTCTTCCAAAATTAGCACAAATAATGCGAAGATATGCATACATTCGCTCCATTCTCCACTCCGGTTCTTTTTTTTTTTTACCACGTATTTCAGATGGTCTCGG